GGATCATTTCATCACAGATCGCTTTGGTTTGTTTAATACAAGCAGAGAGATAGTGTGTGTGTACAGTATGTGTGTGTGTTTTATTATCCAGCATTAGTTTACTTTCCCTCTTGGGATGTTTCTGAAGGGTGGCTTTGGGGTGAGAATCCTCCCTCAGGCCTCAGATAGAAGCAGCTACAACACACACACACACACACACACACACACACACACACACACACACACACACACACACACACACACACACACACACACACACACAGCATGTAATACAATCAACTGTCAGACGATGGTTTCAGACGAGCATCATTTCACATTACAGAGCTCTGTGTGGGCGAATAGATAATGCAAGCAAAAGGTACTTAAACACACTGACATTCATCTTCCCCCCATCTGCAGCCTCTTTTTCTGAGTGTGTTTCTTGGCCAGACACGAGAGTCAATCTCGAGGTGAGGAAGGAGGGAGATAGGGGGGGAGGTAGGGGGGGACGGGTAATGATAGAAAGGTTAAGAGGTTGGTGAGCGGTAGTGGGTAGTGTGCGGGAAAAGGTCTCAGGAGCCGGTTCAATTCACCTTTTGTTATATTGATCGTCTGACATGACATGAAAGGAAATACATCATTTTGTTGGTTTGCGTTTTTTGCATTGTTCTTTTCAGGTTTTTTTTTAGGGTAAACATTGGACTTCTCCTACATATTATGCACTTGTGCTGTCCCCCTCAATCCCCACAAAACATGTTTTAAAAAATACACTTCATGGTTTATTCAAAAAAATGTGTGACATCCCCGTTCAATATGATTTTGATATTACAACTAATCCTTTGAAGGCAAACTTCCTGATCTAAAATCTGAAACCAATGCAGAAGGGCCTTTAACCTGCATTATTCTAATGGCCAGTAAGGGCAACTTGCTTTTTGCAAAATAAGGTTGATACAAATATTGATATATCAAATTGATTCATCACCTGAGATTTGATGGCTTCTATCCCTAATTTCAAGTCTTCTTAAATGTAGCATTGTTTAAATAACGGTCCCATTTAGAGCCAAATAGCCGATAAACCACCAGGTCACTACCACAGTGTTTAGAGTTTTCTTTTAGAACTTTAACCTTTCCGTTGCCTGAAAAACATCTTCTTTAGATTTATGGTTGTAACTTGATTTACCCTCTCGTGTCACCACAATGAAAAGGTTGATGTTAAAAAACGAAGCCAAAAACTGCAAACTTGAGGCTTTAAACTTCTTTAGAACCCATTGAATGACGTCACAGTATCTTTGTCTACTTCTTAAATAAAGTCTATGCTCTTTCCCCCTCACTGGCTGAGAATGTACTCATTCAAGCTTGGACACTTAAGCAAACCTTTATGTGTAAAACTAGCTTCTGTTATTATCTCTGTTGAGATTTTGAGTTCAGATATGGCATTTTAACGAGCTGGTCAACAAGGCCTGGAGGGAGATGATCAAAAATCACCTCCCCACTTCTTATGTTCAAGCTATTTCCCAATCCTCTGTTTTCAGCACTAATATAATCACTGGGTCCAGTATGCCTGACAAAAACACACACACACACACACACACACACACACACACACACACACACACACACACACACACACACCAGCTAATTGGCTCTGTTATGTTCTGCAGAGGCCAAATCAAAACTGGCAAAATGTTGATTGATGTTATCATTGCACACACACACACAGACACACACACACACACACACACACACACACACACACACACACACACACACACACACACACACACACACACACACACACACACACACAGCCACTCAGCCACTCACTGTGCTCTAACTACACTCCATTATGTCCATTAGCCCATCTGCACACAGATATATGCGGAGATGGAGGCAAACTCCGATGACACAGCCGTCCCACGCAGGATGTAGAGTGTGTGTGTGTGTTAGAGTGTGTGTAGAGATAAAACTGGGTTGGAATCGGAAAGGTGCATCTCTGATCTGTCTCTTCTGAGTGCTCTGTACGTTGTTGAGCCAGCAATATTAAATATAAGACTCAGGAACAATTATAAATCACAGTCAGTACTTCCTTTTCAAGATTCTAAAAACTGTATTTATACGCCTAAATGTAGAAAATAATCTATGGTTAGGGGCTCACATATAAACATCAAATAAGTAGTCAAATTACAAATTTACATCTTCATAAATAATATGAGCAGGTGTGTACAGAAAAATAATGAAATTATTTCTGGTTCAATTATTTATATAACCGTTGGAAACCGTTGTATTACCCAGAAGCTGTTTGTTCTTCTTCTTGGGAAGCGTCTGGATTTACAAAACAACAGCTGATTAGGAGAGCCATTTTTACATTTAGTATTGCACTTAAATGCATCATTCCTGAAATCCTTAACTCAACCAGTTTCAGAGCTGCAGCGATTTGTCCATCAACTTGTGTTAATCAGCAACTATTTCACTTATATGTATTCAGCTTCTGTGCGTGTGTGTTTCGCCCACTCTGAATGAAGCACCTCTGCACTGTCCATGATGATGATGATGATGGTGCTAACTATATTTTTCAAAGTAAAAACCAGCTTTTGAGCTGCTTTGGATACCTGGCAACACACAATTTCAAAATGCCTGTACCACACACACACACACACACACACACACACACACACACACACACACACACACACACACACACACACACACACACACACACACACACACACACACACACACACACACACACACACACACACACACACACACTCTAATTGGTGCTATTGGCCAGATGGTGCTCCCCAGGAAGTCAGTAATGTCGGTGGTCTGTCTTCTCAAATTGTTTGAAGGCGCTGTCAGCTTACAGGTTGTGTACATACCAATTCTGTATTGAATCTTTTTTACCCCAAAATGTTTGTACATCTTCCAACTTCCAGAGAAAAACAGCAATATGTATTTGATTGAAATAAGACCTTATTCACGCATCCAAATCCAAAAGTAGCAGGCTGCTTCTCATCATTATTGTCTGTTAATCCATAAATCAGGAGAGTTGTCTCCTCCTAAACTCATGATGATTTAATGACACTTCTCTGCCCCCTTGTGGTCATTTGTTGAAAGTGCAGCTCAGGTGCAGTCCTTTTCATACGGGGATCAACACATTGAAATGTTTGTCCAAATAAAGTTACACTGTGTCTTCACACTTTACATCAAGGTTTTCCCGGCTCCTTGCTATTTAATGATAGACTTCCAAAGATGAGACTTGTACTGCTAAGACTAAGAGATGAGATTTCCCGTGAAGATAGTGAGCTTAATTAATTTAATTTAAATTGTTGCTTTCCTCTATTTGTTTTGCTACGCTTATCTGTTGTATATATCTTTAGGTGTTATCTAACTACTCGTGTTTTGTTAGAATGACTTTTCTTAATTATGTTAGCTCAGTAGTATTTCTCGCCCCTTTCTTATTGTGCTTTTTCATCTTCAAATATTTGGTGCTTCCATTATATGACATTGTGACTTTTTATGTAAAATGATCTGGTTTTTATACAGTCCTGTGTGCGCAAATATTTTAAATAGTAAAGCCTGAATATGAATAATTTGTAATACTTGGCATGTGTTAGCGTGTAGCTGTTAAGCCCCAAGGTCCCCGCCGGCGGGGACCCTGTTTTTTTTTTTCAGGACACTGTCTCAGGGGATCTTAATATTTAAGAACCTATTAATGTGTTATACCAGATTAACGGAAATAATCTCAGCTAACTGACGATATAAACCATTCTTACCAAAACAAAACACAAGTCTCATAAGAAGCATCTAAATGACCCCTTAGCGAAAAATGCTAACGGACATTGGCACAGAACTCAAGATAAAAGTACCCTTATTACTTATCGTAGCTGCACATACAAGATATCCGATTAAAGCTGAGGTTCCACAGATTATTTAGGTATATAGTATCATCACTGAATGATCCAAACTTGCGACAGGGGAAGCAAAGACAGACATCACAACACGTACCTTTACGTAACTTCTAGGGAGATCGTCTCACCGTAGCTGTTAATCTGATCAAAAGACGTGTTCAATGGCATTAAAACGAGAAAAAACACGACTGAATCGGTTAATACATAGGTTGATAAAGTTTTTGGGCAATAATTTGAATTATTTATAATCCATAATTCAATTTTTATGTAAAAATCGCAGAGCAAAAGTTAGCTGCTAATGGTAGCCACCAGAGTGGCTGCTGCTTCCGGTCTTGGCAATGCAGCAGCCTAACACACACACATGACCAAATAAGGACTATGTGGGAGTTCCCCTCGATTCCATTGGCTCTGACAGTTAGAAAGAGATGTCACATGTCAAAATCCAGCAGGGGGAGCCAGAGATATGAAAAATCCACCCAAATGGCCCCAGAAGAGTTTTTTTTGTGCTAAATCTGTCTAAAAAGGTCAAATATCACTTGTTTTGCATCAATCTTGATACAGGGTACTTATTATATGTTGTACTTTGGATTCCTAAAGCTTTCAGTCTACTAACCCATCATCATTAGTTTTCACTATAAGTACAAAATATTTTTTGGACGGACACTATAATTTACAGTTTTTTTACCATGTTCAATCTGAATTTTCTTTAAAATAAAAAACATCTATATTAAATCTGACTTTTCTACATCCAACTGACAGGTTTATCATTACTTTGAGAAAAAATATTATTAATTTAACCCTTTTAGAAGGGAAGATATGGTCATTTGTTCTGGGAATGTCATTTTCGAGCCTGAAACCTGAAAAACAGGCTCGGGGTCTAACAGGTTAAAAGCACACCAACAGACACTGTGAACATGAACTCTGATGTTGATGCTGTTTCGTGATGTCACAGTGACACCTGCTGGACACAAAGCTGTACTGACGACACAAGTGCTCGACTGTTTGACATAAATGATAAAACTGTCTTATTGTTGATGATGTTCGCCTTTAATTGGCTCGGAAGCAATCATAAATAATGAAAACATATTTGTGTTTATTTCTCTCTTTCAGAAGGAGCTGAGCCTTCCCAGAAGAGGCAGTTTGTAAGTACCCATCATCCCCCCTTCTGTCTTCTGTCCAGTCAGACAAAGCCTGTCCTTTCTGCTGTGTTTGTTTTCACCCTTAAAAATGTCATGGGGAAAGCTTTGAGGATGCAATGAACCAAACACAGATACATAAGCTGGTGTCAGAAGCGGTCTTTTGAATGATGGTGAGAGGGAAGCTTGTTTTATATGAACATGTTCTTTTGATGGAGTTCTAAGGAGAGTCTCTGTCCAGTGTGCAGCATTCAACTTGAGGCTCAACTCTAGTGTTTGTGAGCATGTTATTCTTCTATGTTACTCTAAAAAATGATGTACTTGTCCTATAAATATCACCAAGAAACATTTCTGTGTTCTTTCCCTCTCAGCTGTTAATCTTTATAAAGTTATACAGAGAGAGCTTCCAGTTCAGGGTTTAAGGACAAAGTTGAAAAGCCACGGAGTCCAGGTTAGTGTTTGTGTGCATGTGCCAGAACAGCTGAGCATCCCTCTGTGTATGGTATCAGATCTATTTATATCAGTGTGTGTGTGCCAGGAAGCTGATTTATCGTCCTGCTGGAAACGTTCTACATGTTTTGAAACAAAAGTCTAGAGATGTACTGTCCTGCTTCTGATCAACAGTTGGAATATTAGATTTCTCATACAAGTGTTCTTATAACTCACTCTGGAGTTGTTCTGTTTCCCTGAGCTACCTTTAAAACACACAAGGGTCGGATAAGGTGCATGTCGTTTAAAGACAATGTGAAACAATAAGCAGCCTATTAGCCAAAGTTAGCAGCAGCCAAACTGCATTGGAGAAGCACACATTTGTAATGGGAAACTGATTTATCCAGTGTTCAAAGTGGTTTTTAATAACAAGGTCCATTTGTTTTGGAGAAGATGAGACCCCTGCGGATCATTTCCCAGTAATGACCTCCTTGTGATGACAAAAACTGTCGATCCAATGTTACTCACCTCATCAAACTCTATTTGTTTTGTTTCTTGAGACACTCATAGTGGTAGGAAACGACACATTGCAAGTTTAATAGACTGAAGATAGGGATATTCACGTTAATCAGTATACGTTATTTTATTATGTAGATACTTGTCATGTTTCTCTGTGCAGGAATGACCGTTACGCCTCCAAATAAGGCCTGACATACCGTAGGGCTCTTAAGCCAGGATTGCTGGTAACATGACAGAACATGACTTGGCCATTCTACATAGCCAATTATTGCCAGGCGTACTAAATATACTACATATGTAAGAAATGTGAGCACAGACTCTAGGATTAGATCTTTGAATGAAATGCTCATCGCCACATAATGCAGAACATTTAACAAAATTGTATATCCGAGTCCGACCCTTGTCAATTAACTACAGGGGTCCCTCAGGGCTCTGTTCTTTGTCCCCTCCTCTTCTCCTTGTACACAAACTCGCTCGGATCTGTCATTAGCCCGCATGGTTTTTCATACCACTGCTACGCTGACGACACCCAACTAATTCTGTCCTTTCCCCGCTCATAGACCCAGGTCGTCGCACGCATCTCTGCTTGCCTAGCAGACATCTCTCGGTGGATGTCTGCTCATCACCTCAAGCTCAACCTTGACAAGACTGAACTGCTTTTCCTTCCAGGAAAAGATTGTCCCACTCTTGACCTAACAATCAACATCGGCACCTCTGTTGTTGCCCCGACTCAGACTGCAAGGAATCTGGGTGTGATCACAAACAGTCCTTTACTGCAAACATAGCTGCTACAACCCGCTGCTGCAGATACACTCTTTACAACATCAGGAGGATACGTCCCCAGCTGACCCAGAAAGTGACGCAGGTTCTGGTCCAGGCTTTCGTAATCTCACGCCTAGACCAGTGGTTCTCAAACTTTTTTCACTAATGTACCCCCATTGAAAAAAAAATTCAGCCAAGTACCCCCTGATCAGCGCAAAAACAATTGATAAGGAAAAAATGCCTATATAAAGAGGTACAGCAAAACAACAACCTTGTAACTGAGAAACACTTAACTGCTACATTTCAAATGTTTACAATCCATCACTAAATTCATGGCAAACCAATTTTAACATCATGCAATAACACTAAGATGACATTAGTTGCATTGAACTGATCTTTTTAATAAGTTGTACATACAATGTAGTGAGAAACGTGGGCTTGAGCTTCACTGAGGAACTTTGTCATTGTGACATGAGGAAACTGCAGTTATTATNATGGTAGGTCCTTGGTACCAATTTGCGACATGTGGAGTCGTGCACGTGCAAGCGAGACGCTAGTCAACGGTTTGTCGCGCGAGCGACGTGGCGTGGACGCTCCCCCTGGTTCAAGGGTAGTCGTTTTTGTGCACCCAACGATAGGACCGAGGTTTACCCACCTTACTCGAGGGTAACTTTAGTCCTGTCGTCTATCGAATGTGTAGAGGCGCGTCTGACCTTTTTGAGGTAGAGAAATCTCGAGTGTGAAGTCGCTAATTTTAATGATGTTTCGTGAATATATGATTAATTTCCCGACCGAAAAATATACGGTCAACTTATCTTGACCTTTACAAACCGAGATACTTTGGATACATGAATATACAAGACAAAAGAATTCCAACATAGAAGGACCAGCTTACGTGAATAACATTCAGCGAAAACCTATTTCGCAGTCGATTTACGTTACATTACATTACATATGAAGGATTATTTCTTTTTTTTTCAAACTAAGATAATTAACAAAAAAATTAACGGTGAACACTCAGAAGTCTAGACTCAACAGAATAATCATTCGGATTAAATATGATAAACATGATTGTGATAAAAATATATTACCGTTCTTTCCCAAAGTTCATAAAAGAAAAAAAGACACAGTATACAACCGTCGTTGACAAGTTACAAAGAACTTTTGTAATGGGTGACATCATACCTGCACACCTTGTTTGAGGTTGAGACATAGTTGTGTGACAACACATTGAAGTCAACTTATGAAACATACACACATCTAATCTTCTCCATTTATTTCCTAGGACGTCACAAAATCTTCATCCGGATAATTTAGCATGCGTTTTCCAGTCAAAAATATGTGCTCAATCATTCACACATAAATCGAACCATTCATCCCGTACTGGGGGGTCATTTACCGATGCGGAGATTAAACCTGACCATCTAGTAGAGCCCGTCTGACACGTTGAAATTTTTCATCGAGAGCCAAGTTTTTTTTCCAACCACCCCCCGGGGTGGGGACTTATGATGTTACATATAACATATAAATGTGTAACAAGTAAAACATGGTAAAGATTTTTATTTCAAACTAACTCTAAGTCCCACATTGATCCCTACCCCATAGCTCTTTTGACATGAGTTCAGTTATGGCATGGACTTAACCTGCCATAGCATATGGCAATTCGAGTGACTGGTTTGCACCCGACGGATAGCGATATAAAATGTAGATGAAGGAATCAAATTGAAATTGGTAAGACCAACCAACCCTGGGAGTACGGGTACACTACATAGGCGCAAACTCTGGGGGAGGACTAACCGGTGACAGTTAAGGTGAGGGCGTCGGAGAGAGTTGTTGTCGCCGAGATATTTTAATAAAAGCCCACAAATTAAATTTTTATTTGTTTCAGAACCCGAAAGTCTTATACTGTGAAAATAAAGGTTTTGAGGGTGGGTCGCTATTTATGTAAAACGCTTCCGGAACATTTTCCCTTTCTTCTGGTCCGAAGGGGAGCGTGTTTGAGACGATAAGGTGTCGGCCGTTTCTGAGGGGGGGGAGGCGGAGCGTGACTTTAATACTTACATTCCGGTATCATTAGTATCTATGGTGCCCGTCCTCAGGGCAATGTGGGTCCCATATACGTCCTAGACTCCAGTTTAAATATTGGGAAAATCTTGGAAAAAATTCTTGGGAAGAGGTATGTAAAAATCTGCGAAGTAGGCGTTGGAAACTCAAGATTTGGCCAAATGTAACCACTCGTGTGAAATGGAGTGTAAATGATTATAAGTTCTAACATTCTATTCGCGTGTTGATTTGTCTCACTTCTCGGCCTGATCGACTTCGGAGGAAGGTGTTACTTGAAGTTTTGGAGGTAGACACTTCCCAGTCCAAATTTTACGGCATACCGAGAACAACGGAAGACATAGAGACACCGGATAGAAAGTGAAGGTCATTTTGAGGAGTCTTGGTAAGTTTGGTCATTTAAACTGGTATTTGTTTGTTAACTGTTTTGAAACTTGATACTTTATATCAATTGTGAAACCACTCGAAGTCTCCCATTTGACGGTATATCCTCCGACGCGCGAGTGTTTATGGGTCCACGCAATTTAACTCGACGCCCGACAGGCCCCGATTCGGGACCGTGTATCCTTGCTCGAGACTGCAGTAGTGGGAGGGTGTAAACAGTATACAAATGTTTTTTGCTATATATAGCACAAAGCGGGACCTAGCCTCAGTATCGTCGCCACGATTCCGTTGGGCACCCGGGTCGTATTACACTTCGCGCACCTTAGAAAATCACACACGCGCACGCTTTCACGGCGGGGCGGGTTAAACAAATTATACACAGTCGGTGTCTTCTTTTCCGAGAACTCCCTTATCATCGGTTCCCGGCCAAGATTCTGTTAAACGAGAGTTCACTCTAAAATGCCCGGCTGTAAAATACACATTCTTCTTATTTCTTTTTAGAGATTTTGTTTTCCTGTCTTATCGTGGACGTTTTGTCTTGAAAAAAAAAAACTTGTCAAAATTCTGGTCATTTTTTACGGAAGCGTTTAGAACCACGTGAAACTCCGGTTGTGGGTTAATGATCTCTGGACTAGATTCCCCCATGTTGAGATTTTGCGGGGTATACGTTTTTCTAAGCCAAACTGTAAATTAATTAGTTTATTCATACACTTGTACTGCGTGTGTTGGTTATTGGATTGGTATTCGGTTATTCGTTTATTACAGAATAAGTATAAGTATCGTTAAGTATTAGCAATAAAATGGATAAATTGCGATCGCGGGGTGGCATGTCCCGTTTAATTTGTAACATT